AATTCTACATATTTCTCACTGAAATGAAAGAAAAAGAGAAAAGAGATTTTTGTGCTCTCTGAATATTCGCGAATCTCTGTCTTGTTTAATTTCGTTATACGGTAGAATTATTCACGTATGTTCGACTCATAGAAGCGCTATATGCATATAACACCCCGCATGCACTCGCGTCAAATAAGATTTGTTGCGCCGATTGCGTCGGCAAATATTTGATGTCGCGGCGACATGAAATCCCGCGATCTGTGCACCGACACACCTTACCACCTTGTTTGCATTAACTGATGAAAATAAAGCAGTGCCGCGGCTGGCGATATTTGCGGCTAATGGGACACGCGCATCTCGTATAACAGCCAAATAAACGCGGCCCTCGGGTTCTGCAGCGGCGGCAAGTCTTATCGATCCGCTGACGCGCTTTAGCGCAGTCATAGAAAATTTTGTGAGAAATCGCGCCAAAGTACACACGACAGGTATAATCTGATAGGCAATACGCACACAAGATGGGCTTTATAAAATAATCGAATTATTCAACGAATAGATGTGCATTTTAATTATAAATTCTTTCGGAATGGTAAGCGATATATGCGTGAAAAAGAGATATATGCGTGAAAGAGATCTTGATATTTAAAAGGATTATTTTTGTCTCTCATCGTGTAACTTAATATTTCGGAAAGCATTTATTTTGCAAAAATCACGCCGCAGCCGTTTACGGTTGTAACGCGAAAATGTTGAGGACTTAACGAATAGAATGTGCTGGCTAGAAGGAAAGGGCAGAAAAGTTTGAGGATAACGGAGATGATTCGGTCGAAGCGTTCTACTATTTTCTTGTTAGGTTTGTTAGAAAGGGAGAAGATATGAGGAAGGCGTGGTGGACTGCTCTCGGGAGTCCAAGAGCTAGGCAAGAACTACCCTCGGCCTCTCTCCCGCATTATCCCGCAACGATCATGCAAGAAAACACTACGATTTTTTGCGACGCTAGTATATACGCAAGAAGATTACATATACATATATGCGCAACCGTAGAATTCATATGTTGGGTTAAATATCGCAGCCTCTTTCCGATCTTCCTCTTTGCTACAAAAATAGTCATTCTTTTAAAATTATTAAATACTTCGATTGAGAATATGATCAATATTGTTGATTTGATTACGTATATTTATTTCTCGTTAAATATAGTTAATTACTAAAGAAATTAGTGTTAGATTTGAAACACGAATGTACGGCAATCTTTTTCGTATTTAAAATAAAATCTGATGAATTTAAATGCGAGCGAGTGTAAATTCGTGCAGCAGTTGACGAGATGAATAATCATAGTGTACGGCGCTTTTATTTTTTTGCCCAACTTTTATCTAGTTCTTCTAAGTGGTACGTTTTGCACGCATTTAGAAATTTGACACGAATCACACGCCCGATACGAAAATGTCGACAGAAATATCTGCTATAGTTGATGTTGAGAAAATTTCCGTACTCTTCGCGCGCCGGTATTTCAGATATTGGATTTCTTCTATTTGACATAAATAGCGTGAAATAAATGTCATGTGTATACCCACCCTAAAAATGTATTGCGACGTGATATTTGACTTGCGATAGATCGATCGGGGTCGTCGCGGCGCGTCTCCACTACTTTTCAAATTCTCATCCTTGTGTTCTTTTCCTTCCGCCTCTCCATAGTATATCGTCGATATCTGCATCCTCGTCAAGATCAAACTCCCGATTTATTCCACTCTCTTTCCCTCTCGGCCTCTCTTGTCTCCTGCCAGTTTTTTATTACGTTGGAAAGTTAACTTTAATTGGGTCGACATCGATCGCTGTAATGAGAAAAGTTGTTGGGGCTACTCCTATGAGCGCCAGCTACGAGACGCACTATATGTCGCAGCTTCCTTTTCCTTCGCTACCCTCATAAATTCTCCGATCTCTCCTCCAATTTCAGCAATCGATGCTATCGCTTTCAAACGATTATTTGCTGTTAGATAATAAAACGAGTTTTGTTTTATTATGATACAACTTTAACATTCTTCATAAAAACAGTTCGTAATTATTTGTTATCGAGAATATAACGATATAATATGATGAGTTGTGTATTAGATAAGGAAATGATGAGATTCAATGGACATATCGTGAGAAGTAGGATAATCGTCTATAATCAAATGAAAATTTTATCTTCATTTTCTCGGTTTTTTATCTTCACGTTTTTTCGTCTTTTTAATGTGTGAGTTGCTATCCGGCACAGTATTTCCGGTAATCAATATAAATTTCTTACAAAATAGAAGGAAAAATATAAAATAATACCTCGGAAATGTCAACTTTGTTTGATGCAGACGGAATAGTGCAATGTTTCTTCTTTTATACCAATGTGCTGACATAAACAAAATTAGATTTCACGAACAAGGATTTTAATTTTTCTCTTGTTCATTTTTCGTAAAGTCTGATTTTTTACTCTGTAAATTCAGACCACTGTATTTTTGCAATGTATATTTATACACATATATAAGCAATATTTTCTGAAAACAAAACACATTAGAAGGTAGTACGTTTTGAAGATTACATATACATATATGCGCAGTAAGTAAGTATTACAAAATAGCGTTTGGGAAAAGTTAACTTTTATTGATGCAGATGAAACAATTGTAACATACCTGTTAAGATAAAATTAAATTTCTTCTATCCGGAGCTTTGTATTTCCCGTCCTAGATATAATAGCTATAAAACATAGTTAAATCTCTATTCCAAACTTCATAATGCCTGATGTCCAGTTATATTTGTATTATATTCCGATCGTGTTGTTTGTAAACTGAAATATCAAGCCAGATAGTCATGTATTTAGCGTTTCGAGAAATAATCTATGATAAATAATAAATTTGCAATTTAGCGTTAGTATTTTTTTTGATAAGACACGGATAAATATTGTTAAATATGATAAATTATGTTTTTTTGCCCGTAATTGTTATATACATATTTCTAGTTATATTTATAGCAATCTTTTATGCGTTGGGTTTTGTTTTAATTCGCTTAACAAAAGTTATATTCAAGAATTATACATACTGTTCATCCACCAACGTGGCTTTAACGATCATGCATAAGTAGCAGAAACAACGGGACAAAGTACGGTGGTTGTTGAGCACGTTTTAATTGCGTAACGAGTCTTTCCAATTGCCGTGTAATTTTAATTTGCAACGAGGATAATGATCATTACGCTGGCGTAGGACTTGAAATGTGGCTCCGCGAGAACGAGAAAGGGATGCTGCGGGAAAGGGCTCGGAGAGAAGAGATATAGCTTAGAGAGGTAAAGAGGTTTATGCGACTTTAAGGTTGCGAAATTATTCGAGCGCGATTGTTAAGCGAGCAGAAAATTAACGGGCAGCGCGGAGCCAATGGGCAGTGTAGTCGCCTACGTGCGAAAGATAAAGTTACATTAGCGGAGTAAAAGTTCAAACTTATTTGTTATCTCCCGTTTTACACTCTTTTCTAACTTAAGGGAAAACTGTTGGTGACGCTATAAATTACATATATCGAAATCGTGATCGTTAAAAACTCGGAGCGCGACGCTAATATTGTAACGTAAAAATACATTATCCAAAGAGTTTTGCACTTTGCCAATCCAATTTGAAATATCCATCAATTCAATTAACCGCTTGATTCTTACTGCGGGAGCAAATCTGATTGCAATGTGATTGTTTTACAACGCGTTCAGAGTAGTGCATCGCGCATTTTCATATTCTCATGTTATCACTTTTCCAATATTATAACGCATTATAATGTATTCACATAAGAATTTTCACACGCGAGACGAAACGTTGAATAATTATAATCGTTGATTATTTTCTTACGGCGGTGCAAAATTAATTGAAAATCTCAATTAAATCTGAAGAAGAAAAAGAAAGACGCGTGTTGTCTCGTACATATGTAAACGCGAGGAAAAAGAAACGAGTTAGGCACACGGAAGTAGGGAAAGCAACGCTGCGGAGGATTGGTGCAGAGGATGGGAAGATGGGCGAGAGAGAGACTTTACCGCATCTTCGCGGTAAAACCCGCTCTCCCTTTTCACGCCTCTTTTTCTTTTCTCCCGCGCTTTTCTTTCTCCCCCGTCTCCATCGCGAAAAACCTGCCGCATCCTCGTGAAAGCTTTCGCCGGATGAAGACGCTTCTCTTTATGCGGCACGTGCAAGCTCGACGCGAGTTTTCGGAGAAAAGGGACCGCGCCGAGAGCTTTCGGATGCACGCATCCGCACAGAGCGTACTCGCGCCCCGTTTCGCGTGTAAACGTATTTCAGAACTCGCCACTTTACGCGATTCGCGAGAGTAGATGACTTGGGGCATAAATAAGGTACGGACACAAAAGCGACACGCCTTTAACACCTACTTTGCTACCTTGACTTAAAATGTAATTATCAACTCGTCCATTAATTACATTCATTCTTGAAGCTTTTTGATATTAAAATGCAACGTATATCATACGACGTATGTTTTACATACAAAATATGCTCTTTATATTACGGACTTTCTGATAATTTTTACTGCAAAGTTTGAATAATGCAAAGGTCTGGAAATCTCGATTACTTTTTGGTTTAACGGTTACGCATTTATTATCTATAGAAACTAGTCAATCTAAAATTATAAGAATGTTGCGTTAGCTCTTGTTGAAATTCACCGCGCGCGAGCGAAGAAGAACCTTATTTCCATCTACAACCGCTCAACCGAGTCCGCATGAGCAACGCGAGATGATGAAAGCGTTTTACTAGCGAGTAAAAATTTGAAGTCTGCATTATCCATTATGCATCCATTATGCATCCATTTCATTATCAAGCGTTTGTATGTAAAATTCCGAATATATATACATATTGTTACCGATTTAAAAGGTTGTATCCTTAATTCTGCAACTGTGAAGAATATGCATATCGAAACGCATATCGGAGCGCTATCGGAGAAGACTGGGAGGCTGAAACGGTAATGGTACACAGCCGGTATTCGCATATTGTGCGAGTTTTCATAGCCGATCGATTTTACCGCGGCGCAAAGCGACTAGCTCGCGACGAGAGGAACGAGAAATTCTGTAGATCGCGAACTAACGGAGAGATTCTCTCTGTCTGTGCCCATTGCCCCCTTCGTCTCGTATTTTCGGTAGTCATCCTAGCGTGAAGCAGTGATACCAACCAACCGAGCGCGATGGAGAAGGAGCGGGCGGCAAGGAGACGGGAGGGCGCAGGAAGTGCCGTAACGCGGAGAAAAGAGACGGAGTGCCCTTTTTTCCTCGTTATTCCCTCAAACGTTCCCAGCTGCACCATTGCTCCCGAACAGGTTTTTCCATCGCGATCGGACGTGTGTGTTCTGCGTTCCTAAAGGCAGGATTCGATCCCGGAAATTTCCTGCGGATCCCTATGTACGGCGGGAGTTCAATGTCCGCGTTCTCAAATCGTTCTTACTTGATCTCGCTACTGAAACGCGTTCTGCTACTTCAGCTCGTATTTTGTTCCACTTTCATCATGCACTGAAATTACAATCCTGTTGTGCCAATGAAGAGAATCATTCGCTACGCGGTTTGCTTTATATTACAGCAATACGAGATTTCGCAAACGAAATAAATGCTCTTCTTATTCGTTTTCTTGCAGTCATAAGAATATCCATATGATGTCACATAAAAGTCTTTGCAAATTTTGTAACTTCTTTATTAATGTAAAAACAGATAAATAAGAAAAAGAAAAATTAATTATCAATACAGTTTTCCTTTTTTTTCGATTCAACTTCTTTCCATTGTTTCGCTAATTTGTTTATGCATCGAAAGTTCGATACATTGAAAAAAAAATTTATTTAACACGTAAAGAACTTTTGAAATGATCTAATATATTAATCCGTATTTCTCACGTCATAGCTCACTCTTGAGAGCCCGTGGATGATCTATAGAATATTAATCTACTGCCGCACTCCGGTACTTAGCACTCGGTCGTTTTACGACCGTCTCCAAAAGGATGCTACGTCTCGAAGCCAAGTAAGGGGAGAGCTTTCGCTCTTATCACGCTCATAGTAATCTTTAATGATCGCTTCGTACGATAAGTCGTTGATGGAAGCTGTCACCGCCGGGCGAACGTTCGTTGGCGAATTATCGACCGTGGCGAATCGCCGTACATCTCGCTTTTCCACCGCGCTAACGGCGAATGCGCACAAAAAACCATAAGCCTGATGAGACTTTACGAGATAGGGACGTGGAAAATCCGCACCTACGTGTGTCCCTCGTTTCCACCGTCGTGCGCGCCTCTTTCCGCTCTATCCCCGCCTCGATCTTCACGTCCACGCATTCAATCGAACAGTAACTCGGCACGACGCTGTTTCAATTTTCCAGCTTTTAATACGGCTCTCACGACCGTTCGCGGAGTGCTGCGCCGCGATGCAGCAGCAGCAGCAGCAGCAGCAGCAACAGTATCCGCAGCAATAGCACGAATAACAGCAGCAACGATATAGCACGCTGTACCGGCAACGTTTCGCGGTCATAAATACGGGGCTTATACTCGCGGCCGGAATTATAATAGTCGGTGAGATACGTGAACGGTTATTACCATAATGACCACGGCATAATTCGGATCGCGAATAGGAAAAGTCGCCGTTCGATTTTTGCCGGCCCGTTTCGACGTGTGCCGCGTTCGCGTTTACCAATATGCCGATCGGAAAATACTTCCGCCAAAAAATAATTTGCGGTCACTGAACGTCGGCCGATGCGATATTCGCAATTCGGTCGTCGACGGGATTATTATGGCTTAGCGTCTGGCAAAATGAAGGCTTGCGGAAGTACAAAAGTATGATTGTGATGAATTCATCACAATCATACTTTTGCACGCCGTATATTTTGTACTTTGTCAGAATTGTAATCGTGGTTTGCAGGAAACAGAATTTGCTATTCATTTGCTTTCGATATTATCAATATTTTTTTTTATTTATGAACTTAGTTTCGTTGCTTCTGGTAATTTTTCAGACTTGTCACTGGCTTTAATGCATACAAGAATGTACATTACCAAAAATTTTTAATATCTTTTTTATTTGATGCTGAAAGAATCATCGGAATAGTAAAACGCAAACAGGAAATGTCATCCGTGAAATAATTTATGACACACACGGGAAATCGTTTTATATGTATAATTCACAAGGAGATGAATTTCGACCGAAGAGAATAATTAGCGCCGTATCGTGATTTATGTGATTGTGTTAGCCTGGCAATAAGAGCGCATGGGTATCGCTGCAATTATCGTACACCCGGTCCCAGATAATCAAACTGTAATCCAACGGCGCAGGAAATTCGTTTGAATAAAAATGTTCCCTTTATACGTTTCACAGTGAATATTCTCGCGGCGTGAATCAGTTCGATTTTTAATTCCTGGTTATACAACGTCTGGCAAATGTAATAAAGGTGATTATCTCTGCGATTGTTTCCGCACGTTTTTGAAGAGATAACAGGCTCACTGGATTTACTTCTATAATATAATTCACGTGCGATTAAGATAAAAGAATTATAGGAAAAGCGTGAAAACCAATTGTAATATCATAAAAATTGACTCAAATACGTGATTTTAAAAAATATATATACATATATACAATCCATTTAATCATCCTCGACACGATTTCATAATTTTACATGTAATAATATATTAAAACAAAATTAGAATAAAAATTATCATTAACAAGAAACATATAATTAATATTTTCGACAAATAAAAGATTTTGTCGCTTTCTGTAATCAGGTTTCGGTTTCGTTTTCTTTAATTAGATAGTCAAAAAGACATATTTTTCAAACATTTTATTATACTG